GTGGAAGAGTAGAAAAATTACTTAATAGCAATAAAAGAAACCATAAAACACTGGATAATTTTGAAGATATTAACAAACTGCAGAAATAAGTAAAAGTTACAAAAAAGTCCACGCCAATATAAAAAGCTATAGTACTGAAAAAAATTCTCAAAGTACAAACACATGTAAACATAAGGAAAGAGGTTCACTCTTACTAGCAATCAAATACAAACTAAAAAAGCCATCAGTGAAGAAATGATAGAGAGGCATGATGGTGCACGCTTCTAATCCCAGCACTCTGGGACACCGAGGCAGGAAGATCACAAGTTGGAAGCCAATCTGGGCAATTTACTTAGACTCTGCCTCAAAATATAAAGAAACAAAGAGCTGGGTATGCAGCTCAGTGGTACAACGCTTGTCTAGCAATTGTGATGGCCTAGGTTACATTCATAATACCCACCCTCAATACACACACACACACACACACACACACACACACACACAATGTTCCCTACTTTATAAATATGGGAAAATACGATGATGTCAATAAAAATGTAAATACACAAAACTATACATGCAGTATAAACATGTAGAAAAGAGCCTAGAAAAAGCAGAGCTATCTCTGGATGAAAGCTGATGGAGGCCTCTTCAGACTTCTTTAATTGGCTCACCCGAATAGTTCTTGGCCTGAGGCAAGGCAGTAAGTACATCAAGGTGAGAGCTTGTGGTAGAACAAAACTGTTCATTTCATGGCCAGGGAGCTATAGAGAACAAAGGGAAAGGACTAAGGTCCCAAAGTCCCTTTCAAGGACACATCCCCCAGTAACCAAAGACCTCCTACTACTGCGCCCTACCTCCTAAAGTGTCTAATACTTCTTAATAGCAGCACCGTGTGGGTAAGCTTCTACTACACAAACCTTCGGAGGACACAAAAGATCCAAACTATTTCAAGACTGAGAGCATGGTAGTGCATGCCTGTAATTCCAGCACTGCGAGAGGCCGAGGCAGGAAGATCACAAACTCAAGCCCAGCCTGGGAAGCCTAGTGAGAATGTCTCAAAATGAAAAAAATAAAAAAGGGCTGAGGATGTAGTTCAGTGCAAAGGCACTGAGTTCAATCCCCCAGTATTACAAAAAGGGGGAAAAATGACCCAAACTATAATCCCACCTTCTCTTTGAAGTTCCTTCTCTGTGCTAAGGCAACTACGAACCAGTAGTCATCTTTGTCTTTGACTCTTAAGAAAACATTTCAGCACTCTTACTACTCAATATAATTTGCTTAATACCTCTATTAGATGGTATTAGTTTGGGAGGTGCTCTATCTTTCAGTGTGTTTTCGTTTTTTTTTTTTGTTTTTTCTCCGGTACCGGGAACTGAACTCACGACCTTGCGCTTGCCAGGCAGGCGCTTTGCCGCTGAGCTAAATCCCCAGCCCCCAGTGTGTTTTCTAATACTGACACTGTTTCCCATTAAGCATATAATGACCACCTGAGGAACTGAATAAATTATTGTCAGAAGAGACCAGTCTCTTGTCTTTGGCCTAAGTAGGAAGAACAGGAAATACACCTTATTTTAGACTCAGCATATCTCCTGCCCATGTTTCAGTGTTATACAAGAACTCACTGTAGCAATGAGGAAAAAAACGTTGCAATTACGGACCATTATTTTACTTTATTTTTTTATGTCAGTTAAAAAAATCTATCCATAATTGGTAACTTTTATGGGCACAGAATGTGCTTGGGAGTTCCCAAGAATCTACCTCCAAAAGAATTTATGGAACTTAGTTACTGCTTGAAATGATATACCCGCAGATGATAACTTGTTTTCTTTCTTTTTTGCACTACTGGGGATAATATTCAGGGCCTCAACATGCAAGGCAAGTTCTTTACCGCTGAGCTATACCCTCAGCATGACAATAAATATTTTTGTTTAGGAAAAACATCATATTTGCTTAAGTCTGCCTTAAGCTTCTTATGAAGCAAAACACTGTTAATGACTACAGAAACAGTGAAAGAGGAAGAAAAAAGTGGATGTTCTAAAAAGCGACCTTAAAAAGGAGAACATATAAAAATTAAAACATATTTTTTCCATTTCCCAACTCGGACTTTTTCAATGTTATATTTTAGGAAATAATGGAATCTTTAAGGTGAGGCTATCTTTAATGATTTCTGTTTTTCTTTCCCATAAAAATCTTTTTTAGTATTTTCAATTGCTAGCAAATAACCCATATACACAGGTTCACATGTACCTGAGTGTGTATATTTTAGGACAAAATCCTCTCTATACTCAATGCCACTCAGTGCTTTACTTTGAAATAATGCTTGTCTTTATGAGACATATTGTGAGGGCTATTCTTTGCCAGATTTTGGTGAGAAAAGGGAGTTAGTTGGGAACTCAATTCAGAATTGGTCTTATTGTCCAACACACACACTTACCATTGCTGTATTCACTGAGTATGTACTGCGAACTGTGCTAGGTGTTTAGAGGTAAGATTCACAAGGCCTTTGGCCTCAATTTTTACATGTTGCTATAGAACTCAATCTATTGGAGGAAATAAACAATAAACAAACAAATGAACAAGACAATTGCAGATTATGGTAAGAACTGTCAAGGTGAGAAAATAAACCCTATAGGGAAGCTATTTAATAATCAGTGGAGACCTTTCAGATACACTTAAACTTTGAAATGAAAACAATGAAAAGAGCTTAGCCATGCACATGAACTGGGGAAGAGCCTTCCAGGCAGAGTGAAAAAGTGGGATGTTCCCAGGTGGAAACGGATTTGTTCTGTTTGAAGGACACAAATGAAGTAGTGTAGTCATGTTTTTCAAACTGTGAATCATGTTTTAGATTTTAATGTCAATTGCGTGGGTTACTGCATTTAAAAAAAGAAGTCAAATAAACACTAGTCACATGTTTTCAGAATGAATATTCTTATTCTTTTTTGGCAGTGGTGGGGTAACTGGGGATTGAACCCAGGACCATCGCACTAGGTTACATCCCTAACGCTTTTTCTTTTTTTTTTTGAGAAGGGTCTCACTAAGTCACTAAGTTGCTCAGGTTGTGATGGAACTTGTACTGCTCCTACCTCAGCCTCCCACAGTGCTGGGATTACAAGTGAGTATCACCATGCCTGGTTATACCTTTAACTATGGCTTTAATTACATGAATGTGTGCATGTGTGTACTGACTGGATTGCACTGTATGTTTCTAAATGCTGGAAGGAGTTAAATCTGTACTAGTCAAGGAGAATGTTAACAGGTGAGACTGGCAAGGTAAGCAAGATTCAAATCACATATGGCCTTGAACTGTAGGCCATCGTGAAAAACTGAGATTTTATTCCAAAGGGAGTAAGTAGACACGGAAGGCTTGCAGGCTGGAGAGTGACACAATCTAATTTGACATCATGGTGTTAGTGAAAGATTACTGAAGTGAAATTCAGAAGGCCTGAGCACTGATTGGCCCTGGCTAAGCCTGTAAAACTAGCAATTTTGAGCAAATCACTACTCTCTCCAAACCACACTTTTCTCATTTAAAAATGAGAAGACTGAACCAAGAGGACCATTTTTTTGAAGAAAAAAAAAAAAAGGGTCTCCCTATGCAGTTCAGGCTGGCTTTGAGCTCACTGTGTAGCCCAGGCTGGCCTTGTACTCACAAGGATCTTCCAGCCTCAGCCTCCTGAGTGCTGGGATTACAAGTCAGCGCCACCAGGCCCGACTCTCAAAATGACTTTTAAGATCTTATCTATTGCTCTGTTTCTGCTTCCTCCTTTGGGTATAACAAAAAGACATTTGTCCTGTTCCTGGTTCATTAGGTTTAATTTTGAGTTACTTCTAAACTACTAAAAACCATGCAGCTATGAGTTACACTTCTATAGAAAGTGATTTTGGATCTCTCTTTTCACTGGTACCAGATACGTTATTAGAAGTGAAATCTCTGGGCTAAAAGTGAATCAAGTGCTTTTGCAACTCTCTGGTATAAAGTTTAGAGTGTGAAGAAAACTGACAAGGAGGCATGAAAAGATTTACTGACCAGGTTATTTGGAACAGATTTTCTTATTCTAGGTCATCAAGTGATGTATAATCTAAGACAGTTTAAAACTGCAGGAAACTTTAGCTGAACACTTAAGTCAAGATACAAAAACTCAACTTCTTTTACAGTAACCAAAATGATTACTGACACAAAGTATTCATTAAAAACTACCACATTTTAAGCCTGTGATAGGTAATTTCATACACTCTTTTTCAGTTAATCTTCCTAACCTTATTTGCATTTGAGAGGTATGGAAACAGAAAGTCAGAATAGACAAGCTATTTAGTGGCAACGTCAGGATTAGAATCAATCTGGAGGTAGTCAACATATAGGCCTCTTTTCAATTCTGTATTTACAATAACTTACCCTGCCTACTTTTTACAAATTATTTTGCAGTATCAAGTCATCAGGCAAGTACATGAGCACTGAAGCACCTGAGTCATCTAGTATGTTCAACCAATAAGTCAATTCTGGACTCAGAGCTACTTTACTAGGAATAGTGGGGGATGAGGATAGAATTTGCTCTAGCAGGGGAGAGCCTGCACTGTGAGTAGAATGCTGGGGTGTATGAAGTGGGATCTGGCATAATATCAAAGGAAGTGGCGTGTTCAATTAAGTACATGTCAGTAGTATTATGGTAGTTTCCAGGTTTACTTTGTTGCTAGTTGAAAGGTCAGCAGGAGAACCTTAGACTGTGTCGTGGGCCTAACAAGTGTCTTGAAAGTTCCATAAAAGCGAGGAGATGCTAGAAAGCCACCGATTTCCAACTTGGGTTAACCCTTCAAAGGTAGCATTGGACACACCACCTGCCCAGTTGGAAAACCAAACACAGCACGTTACGGAGAGCAAAGCCTTTGAAATGCACAGAGTATTGTTACTGGACCAGTTGAAAGGGTCTCTGAAACACCCCACAGAGACACTGAAGAACACCCTAGTAAAGTTGAGGACGCACACCGAACACCTTCCTCAACCTCCAGAACGCGGTGCTCACCTGACACATAGTCAGCTTCGAACCTCCGCCGGATCTCACAGACGAGCTTGGCTTTATTCTGAGCGTGATTCTGGATGGGAGATACAACAGGACCTTAGATATTTCTCCCACTACCCCGGGTACCCTCAGCCCAGCCCACTCGTGCCCGGGAGCCCTGTCCCCGGTTCTCGGAGGCAGCTTCCGAGACCGAGAGGCCAGCACTGGTACAGTCGGCTCCTCACCTCGGCCATGACAGCGGTCTTGGACGTGATTACTGTAGGTGAAGCCGTCGCCCCCTCCACCACCGCCAGAGTATCTCATCACCCGACAGTCCCGCCCAGAGGTAGACCGAGGAGGGTGGGAGGGAGAGGCAGTGTCGCGTGACACCGGAAGGCAGCCGGAAGTGCCGCCGCCCCGCTCAATCGGACGCGGCCGTCTGGGTGTAGAGGCGGGACTAACCTCTCAGTCCGGACTCCATTGGTTTCTCGCTTGGGCCCCTCCTCTCGACGTCCACCCACTGCCCCCGCGAGCCGCGCGATCCAGGGCACTTCTCCTCGGAGTTCCGCCCTCGAATTCAGGGTCTGCCATTCGCTTTTGCAATAATCACTGTAGTTCCCGCCTCCTCAGCGTCCCTAGGCAACCGTCTCCAAGCAGCCACGGCCCACTCCGATTCCTCCGCGTTTGCTCAGTCTCGGGGCGGGGCCTCCCAGAATGCTGCGCGCTGGCGGGAGTTTTGGAGCTGCTGGATGCTTCCTCTGCGCTGGGCTTCAGCAGTGTGGTGGTTTTCCGAGGTAAGGCGGCATCTTCACGGAGGGCAGAGCGGGTAGGACTTCACTCCTTGCTCCTGATTTCCAGGAGAGCCGGAAGGAAACAGGCATTCCTTGGCCTGGGTCTGGCATTCTCAGGATTTTAATTGCTTGCTCTATTCCGGGATTATTGCTCTTGAAATTTTCTTCATTACCTCCACGTCTTTCACATTTGGAGTCTGAGATGTTACAAGGGAAGATATCTTTCAAATATTTAGGGGTCAAACAGTTACATAAAGTTAAAATAAAAAGTGTAAAACATTCTTAATTAAGATAGTTGTTGTCAATGGGGGGGGGTCTGTTCTGCCATCCGGAGACTTTGGGCAATCTCTGCAGGATATTGAATGGACACAACTCCGGGAAGCTGGTGTTACGGCTTTCTAGGGGTTAGGAACTAGGAGCGCCGCCAGACCCTCTGTCGGGCACAGGACCACCCACAGTGGTTATCCAGTGCAAAATGTCACGGCTAGTGCCATGGTTGAGAAAGTACTGGAACGATTTTAATTTTGTTGGTTTAAAAATAATAATTGAAAGAAATCGTTACACATGCAACAGTGCCTTCCTTGGAAGTGAAAAGGTGCTGAACACTACAACTAAATTTTAAAAAGAGGCCTCCATGTCTCTATCATCTGTAGTTTTGTATGGGAAAAAATTGAACCCATGCTCACAACATTGTTACATTGTTTACAAATTGTTTGGATACATCCTTTAGAAGTATTTAAACTGTAAGTAATCTCCCTCTGACTCTACTCCCCCACCCGGATATTCATCACCTTGTCCAGAATCAACAGTCATTCAGAATTGGGCATAAAATATTTAGCCTGCCTGTCTTCCCTTTCCCCCTTACCTGCTTCCTTTCTAACTCCCTCCCCTCCCTCCCCCTTCCCCCTCTCTTCGTCCCTTCCTTCCCTCCCATCCTTCCTCCCTTCTTCCCTCCCTTCCATCCATTATTCCTTCCTTCCTTCCACTTTCAGACTGCCTGGATTTGAATTTTAGATCTGGCACTTAATATATAGGCCTCTGAGAAAATCCGGAAATTCCTTGTCTCAGTGTCCTCATCTTAAAATAGGACAATAATAGTTTCTATAGCATAAAGATATTTTCGTTCATTTTATTTTCAAAATCTAGCTATGATAATATACTGTAAATAGGTCTAATACATTCCTTTTAACTATTGTATGACATTCCAGCTGTATTCATTCTTCTACTGGTGATCATTGAAGCTTTTTCCGTTTTTATATTCATTATTTGCAATAATGTAGGGAACATTCTAGAACAATGTCCTTGTGCATATATGGAATGAATTCCTTGAATTCTGTCTCAGAATGAAATAGGCATTTTGATTTAATATGAAATTGCCTTACAAAATCTTCATCAGTCCTGTTTATTAAGCACTCATACTTGTCTCCTAATTGTTAGCTTTGTATCCAATTTCATCTCATTCACATGTTCATCACTGTCACCTGGCTCTTTATAGGCCAGCAGTACAATTTTGTGGTTTCTGTTTTTGTAATCTTTCAATGAGTTATCATTGCTTATAGGAGAAAGTTGGAAGTCCTTCAGAAGGCATAGAAAAGCTTCTTAACTTAATCTTCCATAATTCCCTAATTTAGTGAATTATCATTCACCCACATTCACTGACATTTCAAGTGTACATAAATAATCCTGGGAAGGAAACAGGGGAAATTGACTGTAGGTAGGCCCTCAAGAAATGCCTTTCACTTGAGTAGAGAGAAAAAAGTTTTAACAGTGGACCTATTTTGTAGTCAAGTTAATTTACTTGGGTTAACAGTGTCATGTATGTTGGGGAAAGGAAGTCTGTCAGCATTACATTCACATGATTGTGTTTACTGTTAGGGACAATTTTTAGTTAGGCATCTTAATTTTCCTTTTTTTCCAAGGATACTTTCTCTTGGTTACAATGTGGTTTCTTACAGATAGTTTTGTATTTCGTATACAGATATAGTGCTCTTCTCTTGTCTTCCTGAATCACCCTGTGCCAGTCAATGTTAACTGTCAGTGTGACTAGATTAAGATACTCCTGCAGTCTGATGCTCATAGCAGAGTGTACTCTTAGGAGCTGGGGCCCAGTTGGAGGAGGTGGGTCACTGGGGCCTTGCCTTTGGAGAGTATGTTTCTTGCTGGTGCTCTTCCTCTGTTCTCTGCCTCCCAGCTACCTTGAAGTGAGCAGGTTTCTTTGCCATCATCTTCTGCCATAAGGTTTCTGCTTTGGAGACAGTTGCCATGGTTTGATACCACTGTAACTGGGAGCCAAAATAAACCTGTCCTCCTTTAAGTTGCAGGTGTCAGGTATTTTGTCCCAGCAATATGAAAGCTGACCGTTACACACAATGATAGTTTAAAGAGTTCTAAAATGTATAGTGTCACAATGGATTTATAAGCATTTGAAAGGAACACCATGTTTATTGAGGGGGAACATAAGTATAGTGAATGAGGGTAATAATTTACTGTTAACCTACTATATTTACGTTATTCTTCGGTATTCTTGGGGGATTAATTCCAGGATTAGCCACAGGTACCAAAAGCTATGAATGTTCAAGTCCCTTATATAAAATGGCATAATATTTGCATATAACTTACACACATTCTCCCATATACTTTAAATCATTCCGAGATTACTTAAAATACCTAATGTAAATGATATGTAAATAGGTATTATACTATATTTCTTAAGGAATAAGGACAAGGAAAAGATGTACATGTCTAGTACAGATGCAGTTTTTTAAAAAAATATTTTCAGCACAGGCCTGTAATCCCAGCACTCGGGAGGCTGAGGCAGGAGGATTGTTGTCAGTTCGAGGCCAGCCTGGGCTACAAAGTGAGCTCAACGCTAGCCTGAACTGCATAGTGAAACCCTGTCTCAAAAAACCAAAAAAAAAAATTTTTCAGTCAGCTGTTGATTGCCTCCAATGATGCAGAACCTTTGGATACAGAGGGCTGACTATATGTGTAGGCAAACAATATGCCCTTTTATATAAAGGACTTGAGCTCTTAGGGGTTTTACTATCTGCTGGGCATCCTAGGAACTACTTTCCTATAGACACTGGGGTACAACTGTGTTTTAAAATCTGGCAGCATCAAACAGCATACATTTATTATCTCACTATTTCTGAGTGTCATGAATTTGGGAGGAGTTCTGGTTTTGGATCTCTCCCTAGGGCTGCAGGATCTGATTCCAAGAAGGCTTACCCATAGAGCTTTCACAGAAGGCCTCAGTCAGTACTCTGCTGGTTTTTGGTAGGAGGCCATAGTTTCTTGCCTTGTATTCACCTTCAGGGAGCTGCCTGAGTGTCTTAGAAGTATGGCAGATTGCTTCCAGCAGTCCAAGTGATCTAAAAATGAGGTGAAAAAAATAATAAAAAAATAAGGAGGTGAAATCGAAATCCTTGCTGTGAGACACTGGCTACATTAACTTAAATTTGTAGCTTAGGGTTTGTAGTGGTGCACTATTCAAATCGGATTGATTGTAGGTTTTTATAATGAGAGAACAAAACTTGGCCTGTGAACTTTTGTTTTCATTCGGGGGATACAGTATTACTTACTTGTAAATGACCTAAAGTTCAGTTATTTCTGCAATAGTTGCATCACTGGTGTACAACATGTTTCAGAACTCAGGAGAAAAGAGTATGAGTGTGAGTTATTTATAATGGAGGGGGATCTTTCACAAACCCTTTAGAGTGTAACCATTCTTCTGGTGTTTCTGAGGTTACATACTATATAAACCAGAGCTGGCCATGAAGATTAACAGTGATGTCAGTGATAGTGTGTAGCATTTATTGAGCGTAGTAGTTCTTATCCATTGGGGATATGTTCACGGTCCAAGACCCCCAGGGGATCCCTGAAACCACCATTAGTGCCCAACCCTGTACTTATTATGTTTTTTCCTATATGCTCCGTAGCTTTGCATATTGTGCAGAGTTAATGTGCTCTCCCATGTTTTATGCCCTCCTGCTTCCTTTCCATTACTACTCTTGAGCTTTGGGGCTCCTATTCAGTAAAATACAATTTTCTTTGTTGTACGCATTGTGATTCCTATGATGGCCCACTGATAACTGAGAGAAACCGAGTGACTAACCAGTGAAAAGCCTATATAGTGTGGATGTGCTGGACAAAGGGATGATTCAGGTCCAGGCAGGATGGAAAGGAGTAGTGAGACAGTGGGAGTTTCATCATGCTACTCGGAATAGTGTACAGTTAACTTATGAGTTGTTTCAGGAATTTTCCCATTTAATATTTTCAGACCACACTTAACTGTGGGTAACTTAAACTACAAGACTGGTGATGAAGGGAAACTTCCTACTGTCTATATGGCAGGCTCCATTTCAATTGCTTTATATTACTTATTTTATGTATTAGTTTAGTGTTTTGAGGCAGAGTCGCACTATGTAGTTCAGGCTGGCCTTGAACTGTGTAGCCAAAGCTTGTCTCGAACTCATGTCCATCCCCCTGCCTCAGCCTCCCAAGTGCGAGGATAAGTGCACCACCGTACCCTGCTTTGCAGTAATTGTTTTCTATTGCTTTGCACTTATACCTTGCGAGGTAAATGCTGTTATTGTTCCCCATCATAGAGATGTGAATATAAGGAACAAAAGGGGTTAGGCAACTTGCCCAGAGTCCCATAGCTAATCAAAGGCAGACCTGGCCTTCACACCAATCACCACACATGTTTTGCTTAGAATAGGGCAAGCGTTCAGTACTGCTTTGAAACATTGTTGCAGGAATGTCTCATGGAGGGCCACTGAACAAAGAGAACAGTGTCCGTTTTTAGATACATGTGTTCAATTTAGAGGATTTTCTTTTGATTTTCGTTTTACCATTTCTGTTAAGTTTCTTTCTTATAACCAATTTGTTCTGAATAAGGAAATGCATGCAAGGACAATGTGGTAGTTAACGTGTAGACTCAGGAGTCAGAGAGCCTCTTTTCCAATCTAGCACTGTGCTAATTAGGACTGGAGCTGTTGATGGGTGTTGCAACAGTGGGAAGTTGTCTTCCCTTCCTTAAAATATTTTTGTATTTAAAACATGGCAGAGCTAGAATAATTTTAAGAGGCTAGTTATAAGCATTAAATGAAACAGTGTATGTATTGCATCTAGCATGGAATAAGTATGAATGATTGATAGCTTTTTAAGTCTTCTGTTCATACCATTTAAGTCTTCTGTTCATTATAAGTTTCCTTAATCCTCAAATTTTTTATACTTTGAATAAAAATAATGACTTTCTTAGGTCATAAAAATGCATTGTGCTTACAAAGTAAGGTTTATTTCTCTGACTCCTCTAGAGAGTTTAGAAGGCTTTGTTTTAACATCTTCTGTTTTTTTATTTTTGGAGTTTTATTTTGTTATAGAGCCTGTGTATGCTTTTCCTCCAGAGTGCCTGGGCTGTGGAGACAGTTTAATTAGTCTGCTTCCACAGCCCAGTTCAGGGGTCACCATATTTGGGGGAGAACCTGAGCTTCAAGACAAGTAAACACTGATTACCTGAATGGTCATGCTAAGAGGCTAAGGTATAACCAGGTTAGAGATAGTAGTATATTTGAAACAATGTAGAAGCATGTATTAATTTCTGCAAATGAACATCACTGTGCTACATTGCGAACATATACTGATAGAAATTCCTTGTCTCAAAGAATTCTGAAGTCACTTTTAATAGGACACATAAATCTAAAACTTTAAATATGTGCTGTTGACACATTTAGTATGTTCTTTTTTCATTTAGTTACTCTCCTACTTAGCAAACTTTTCTTTTTTTTTTGGTCTTTTGGGACAGGGTCTTGCTATGCAGTTCAGGCTGGCCTTGAGCTCACTTTGTAGCCCAGGCTGGCCTCGAACTTGCAGTGATCCTCCTGCCTTTGCCTCCCAAGTGCTGGGATTACAGGTGTGCGTCACCATGCCTGGCAGCAAACTTTTTAAAGGGTTGTACAATAATAATATTTGGTTGTCCTTTTTTCTGATAATGCAGCATTGTCATGGGAGCATAAAAAGCTTAAAAATGTTTACTTAATGAAATATATAGTTATCTATATAATAGTTCTCAAACAGAGACATGTTTTCCTCTTAACTCTGCCTAGGTTATGACAGTTTTTCCTCATTTCTTTTTTAGGATTAAAAGCATCAGCTGGAATGAATTTGCATTTGAACATTACATGAACACAAAGACTTGATATTGTGGATGGCTAGCAAACAAGCAATGTCATCTAATGATCAAGAAAGGCTCTTGTGTTATAATGGGGAAGTCCTTGTTTTTCATTTGTCTGAAGGAAATTTTGCAGATAAATGGCCTGCGAAGACATCTGTATTACATGTCAGAAGGATGGTATTTGACAGAGGAACAAAAACATTTGTTTTGAAGTCCACTGGATGCTTCAACATAAAGGAAAAAAACTCAAATTTAAAAATTGTGTCTTGCAACTGTGTTTCAGATTTCAGAACTAGAATTAACATCCCTTACATTTTGATACAGAGCAATGAAAGTAATAAGGTTTTCAAATATTTTGTACTATTTCTTCACAGTACCAATAAATTTGAGATGCGTTTGAGTTTCAAACTAGACTATGAGTTGAGGGACAATATAAGGGTCCTTAATGGCCCGTTAGTTTTATGGCAACACGTTAAAACATTCTTTTGTATCTCTTCCCAAATTAACAAAGTTGTTAGTGTGTCAGTTAACTTTTCCTCTATTGAATGGGCAGGTGAGATTGAAAATTTAGGTACAGTTTTATTGGGACTAACGGAATGTTTATCTGAAGAAGAAAGTACCCAGAAACCTTCTGAATCATATGCAATTTGGAATACCAAATATTGTGTATACTCTCTGGAAAATCAAGAAGTATTAAGTAATACATACATTATACCTCCAGTTTATAGCAGTGTGGTAACTTGTGTGCACGTCTGTTCCGCTGAGGTCATCACCAACCAGTTAAGAATGTCTCTGATTGCCCTTACTCAAAATAATCAGCTGATTTCATTCCGAAATGGGACTCCTAAAAGTGTATGCCAGCTTCCATTTGAAGATCCTTGTTCAGTTCAACTTTTAGATTCAAGTGAAGGAAACCTCTTTTTCATTGTATTATTTAGGTCCAGTGATGCTTGTGCTATTTGGAAAAAGAACTTTCAGGTATAGTACTTAATTACATAATAATTCAGCTGGTGTTTGTAGATGTTTTAAGCATTCCCATGCTTCATCCAGTTCTTCCAAGAGTTTTATTATCTGGGTCAATTATTAGTGCTGTACTTCAAATCATGTGTTTTATTTTTTTTTTTCTTAAAGTTATCAGAACACTACCTGGTAATTTTTATTTTCATTTTTTGGAGATGGTATCTCACTATTGACAATGTTATTTTTTTTCCCTTGCCATTTTGTTACAAAACCTTTTAAATTTGGAAATACATAAATAAATGTATAACTAGAATTACATATTAATTTGTCTTAATATTCTTTTTTTTTGGAACTGGAATCGAACTCAGGACCTGCACTTGTCAGGCAGGCACTTGTACCACTGAGCTATATTCCTGGTCCTGTCTTAATATTCTTCATGTCTTAATTTACAATCTTTTAATGTAATCATATCTAAAAACCTAGGTTAGTACAGTAATTGTATTTGAGCCATTACACTTAGCACTAAGACAAGAACATCAATACCACAAGTGTTATAATTGAGTGGAACATATAGTAGTACAAGAGAAAAACTTTTCTTACATTGACTTTTGAGGCAATTTGGATGATGAAGTGCATAACTTATTAAATAATATGGTGTTTTTGATAGCAATTTTGTACCCAAACAGAAAGCAACAGGGGCTGGGGATTTAGCTCAGCGGCAAAGCGCCTGCCTGGCAAGCGCAAGGTTGTGAGTTCGGTTCCCGGTACCGGAGAAAAACCAAAAAAAAAAAAAAAAAAAGAAAGCAACAGAAGCAGTCTTCCTTTGGGTTGGCATCCATCCTTTTACTAGCTCATTCTGAGAAGGAATTAAGCCATCTTACAAAGATAGGTAAAATACAAACAAGTACAATTTAGAATAAATAATGAAAATGAAGGGTGGTGTGCTCCCAGGTCAACCCTACATAAAAGTCAGTCTACAGTAATGCATGATTAGCTTTTTTTCAGGCTTTCTCTCAAGTTTTAAGACAAACTCAAAGTTTGTCTTAAGTTTTGACAAAAATCTGTAAGAATCTATTCTATTGTATGACCTCAGTTTTGATACTGAGGTCATTGACATTGGTACACAGATATTGATACATCATGAATAGGAACAGGCTAATATATTCTGAAACTGTGGTATGTAATATGACAGTTACTAGCCGTATGTGGGTTATTCAGTATTTAAAATGCAGCTGGTCTCAATAAAAATGTGTTATAAATGTTAAATACTCATGAGATTTCATAGACTTAAATATTTCAATTTTAAATTGCATATATTGAAATGGTAGCATTTTGGAAATACTATGTTAATACAGTGAGCCCTCCATATCTATTGTATTTATTGATTTTGCCAACTGCACATTTAAAGTATTTGAAAAAAAGTTTACGTCTATACTGAACATAATATATGTAGAAAGAATATATATATATATTCTCTCTATATATGTTCTCTCTATATATGTGATTCTTTTTCTTGTACTTATTCCCTAAACAATATAATATAGCCAGTCTTACTTATTATTCATTGTTTTAGGTATTACAAGTAGTCTGGAGATGATTTAACAGATATGGGAAAATGTGGTACATTATATGCACATACTATGCTATTTTATGTACGGAACTAATCATCCACAGATTTTGGTATCTGGAGAGGGTCCAGGAGTCAGTTTTTCACTGATAATGAGGGATAAAAATGTATTAAAATTAATTTCACCTTTTATTTTCACTGGTAGTAGAGATTTTACAATTACACATATGCCATGCATTTGTGACTCACCCATATTTGCGTCAGACAGCACTGTTTGCAATGTGCTAACAAATGTGTGCACAGCTCTGTGATGAGCACATTCTTAAATAATTTCTCACATAGTTCATTATGTTCCATGATAATCACCGGAGCTTGGATGATTTTACAAATAAACTGTTTCCCAGCATAAGTGAAGAATCACAGATACAGAAGTTAGCCTTACAGGGGCAACGCTGATACTTGGTTATGTAAGCTAAAGAACCTTGCTCATGTTTGCCCTAATATAAGCTGCCTTCCTGTTTCACGTAGATCAGTGGTGGTGAGCCTATGGCATGTGCGCTGCAGCTGGCTGTTTATATCATTGCAAGCTCTGAAAGGTTTGCCAACACTGATCTAGGTGATGTTTATCTGTGTTTCTGGGACTCTGAGTTGAAGATTTTGCTTTTCTGCCTCAGGGAGAGGATGGATCTGATCCTCATGGTGTTAATATTTCCAGGAATCAGTCTGAAAGCTTTTGGCTTTGTGGATGATTAAGATGTTGATTTCTCTTTTAAATGGGGGGTATTCTGGTAAAAACTGACCAAATCATTCCATTAATCCAAGGTGTTTCTAGGTATCCTGCTCCTGGTGTCCCTTACCTTCTGTGTGTTCCCCTATAATAGCTATGCCCCTTCTGTCAGGGTTTAAGGTACTGAGTTCACCTTGATGCTGCCATAGCCTGTTTTTCTTTGAGTGCTCTTGAAGTGTGTCTATGTACCTCCAGTTACCTAATGTAACCGTATTCTTTCAGTAATTGGTCTGATCATAACTATATACCTACTAAGGCTTATGGGAATGAAAGTCATCCTTAAATTAGCTGTGCTAGAGAAAGAATTAAAGAGAGTTCTAATCATAATAACTGTTAGCATTTCCAAAAGATTTAGTTGTGATAACTGTTAGAATTTTTACATAGATTATAAGATTTTAATATAGAAATTAGGGATATGACAGTCCCTGGACACACAGTAATAAAGCATTAAATTTATTTATCTTGTTATTTATGAAGTTGTTATAATTGTTTGTTTTTGATCTTCTTACGACTTTATTTTTATAGTACCATTTTCATTGTTCATTTGGAATATCGAGGATAACAAGTTACAACTACCTCAAATTAAAGCAATTGGTTTTGCTCACATCTGGCTTTGCTTTCCTTCTCTATTATTCTTTAATGCTCTGTTTCACTCAGGTTGTTGCTAAGTGGGAAAAACTGAGCTCAGTACTGATAGATGACTTTATTGGAACTGGAACTGAACAAATACTGCTCCTTTCTAAAGACTCCTTGAACTCAGACTGCCTGGCTTCATTTAAAATAACAGATCTTGGCAAAATAAACTATTCAGTAAGTTTTTATTTACTCATATATTTCTTTACGAGACATATTAGAAAATTTAAGTACTCAAAAGCTATTGATGCACCATTTAAATTGTTGTGTTTTCATACTTAAACTTTTGAATTTTAAGAGTACGTAGATTGTAACTTTTAAATATATAAATTTTATCTTCCAAATATATACAGTGAATCTCCTCACAAGTGTGGTAATGACTGCTTTCTGTGTAAATTTGGAATACTGGAGGGTCACTCAAATGATAATGGTACTATGAGTTATTTTATTGTTGCTTCCAAAAAGTGTGTCATACATATAAACATAGTAATAGTTAAGGAAGAGAATGAAGTGAACCAGCATTTTAAAAGAAGTAAACAGGGGCTGGGGATTTAGCTCAGCGGCAAAAGCGCCTGCCTGGCAAGCGCAAGGTCGTGAGTTCGGTTCCCGGTACCGGAGAAAAACCACAAAAA